ACAATGGAACTAGTGCAAAATTTAAAGCATGTGAAAAGTCTGCCTCATGAATGAGGAGTGTGACGCCTGCCTGAAACCTGTTTCACAAACCATTTTGCCCACCATTGCTGGAACTGTACAGGTCCAACAAAACCCCCCTTGAGCACATATATTAGAGTTATGTGCTGGCAAACTTTGTGTATGATGTGAACTTTTCTTAGGCACAATAAGGCAGTCTATGTATCCCGTGGGGACTATAATGCTCAGGAGAGACTTCTCTTAAACGAAAGGCTGATATACCACTTTCTAAAGTGGAGTTGAGGGGAAACAGATTTGTGGGTATCCCTACATGGCAAGGAATTTGAATTTTGCACTGTAAGGCACAATCCACTTTTTATTTGAATGTGTGTGACATAAATCTGAATGTGTGTGAAACCAACTCCCACTTGGATCTCCTAGAGGATTCTGGGTGGCGCTTTGGTGTGGGGGCTTATAGGAGGCAAGGCATATATGAAACAAGGCAGAGGGGATAGAAAAACAAAAGCACCTGTACAAGCATCTATGAAGTCTAAACATAAGACAGAAGGGAAAAAATAAGAGTAATATAAATGGAGGGAACAAAAAAAAAACATAAGTGGAAATAAAAAACCTGCCATTAGAAGTACTGCAATTTATGCCAGCATGGTTCAAAGGCCATGCAGTGCATCATGATTTTAAACTAGTTTGACTCGTTTTGATTCAGAACCTCCTCACTATACTACGGGTCATAGTCAAGAATTAACAATATAAGAAAATAAAGTTGCCTACATATATTCTACAGGGGTAAGCAGTGGTTATTATAAATACTCCAGTGTGTGCCACTAAAGGCAAGCCATGTTTATTATCTACATGTAGTTTTCACCCAAAAAAATGGGCTGAAAATCTCGGCTTATACTCGAGTATATACGGTATGCCTTGTTACTGACTCTAAGTAATTGCAATGGGGCATTAAGATTTGCATGTCCTGATGGTCTAAGATTTCAAGGAAATCCTAATGGAAACTGCACGTGAAGACTGTTCCTGAGCATTATGACATTTGGATGACTCCACTGTCTGTCTTTCCCTGAAAACGCTTTTCTCAGAAGAATCTGCGTCAGACATTCTGCTCATGAAGAACAATCCAGCCGTCCTTTTAGACATTCTGGTGCACAGATGCTTGAGTGGGCTTCTGTTGTGAAAGGATATTTGGTGCCGTATTACAGAACATACTAAGACTTTCAGGATATGAAACCCAAATGTGTTTTACTAGCATTAATTGGGTTCTGTCACCAGGCAAGATCAACAGCTTTTCATGAATCACAGCAATCTGGGAAAATGAAAAGCAGTCCAATCATCATGATGTAAAGTGACACATTTTAAGGCTAAAACATTTATGAATGGTACAGGAGAGTTCAGTGTAAACACTTTCCTAGCTCTTAGAAGCTTATGAATTTTTTGCATACCTGCACGCTATTTATCCTAACACTTTCAATTAACTTTAATTCAAAAGGATATTTCACATTTTTCGGTTCAGGTTTGCCTCCCTGTTAACTTGAAAAAAAAAAAACTGAAGAAATTACAATAAAAGAAAATTACAATAATTTATTCCAACAAGGTGGAAGCACATACTTGCAGTCCTAGACTTGCTGAAGTTTGAGCCCACCACTGACGAGTCTTGTCCGAGTCCTTTTGCTGTGATGTCATCATGCCACTGCAGTCTTCTGAACCCTGAGATTCCACCTCTGGACAGCAATCTGGAAGTGTAAATGAACCCCCAACAGGGACATGGACATCCAAAGAAGGCTCCATCCACTGAGGTATAATGTAAATAAAATTGGCATTTTTTTAATTGCTGCAATTAAGAAAAGGGGAGCCTGGCCAGAGTACAGCTTCTATCTACATGTAAGCAGATTTATGCGTGCGTGCTTTCATACATTTGTATTAACATGTCTTTGTTTAACTGGCTAAAAGTAGAACTATGGCCTCCCATTAAAAACAATTTTTCCTGCAGCACTTAATTGTAAGTGTATCTGCAATTAGTTTTCCCTAAGTCCTCCTTTTACAAATATCCGTGGATCCCATCAGTGAAGTTTACCTTATGCAGCTTCCTGTAACAGGGACAACAATGCGGCTGCATAATTTCTGAATTCAGAGCAGTGCTGTCATGCTACTGTAGGCTGTGCCTGCTTGCAATACAGTGGGATGAGAAGATGTTGCAATTGGTATGGCTATCAGCATTGTCACTGCTGACTAGAAGTCTGTAGTTTGTCAGTCAGCACCTAGCCCTGTGGGCTGCAGTGTGTAGGAGGGGGAGCATATTAGGAACAAATGGAGGATGTGGCTCACTCAGGAAAGTCTATATATTTTTTTTAACTTACTACAGCATATAAGCTGCACATAGTTTATTTTTAAAGTGAAACTGTGGCAAGATTCTGGACATTCAAATATTTATATTCTTATCAAACCCTCATTGATATATGTAACTGTATGCACTGTGGAGCAATTCTTGCTTATCAGAAGAACTGGCGGGTAGTTTTTTTTTTTTTTGCAGATTGATCTTTTCTGTTATTTAGAAAATAGTTTGATTCACCATGTATGTTCTCAGACTGATCTCTGAATAGAAGGGTTTGCCTTCAGCATACCCACCAGGTGCAATCTTAGCACTGCCTCAGCTTCTGCATCCCAAGTGAGTGACCATTGGAGAGGAGCTTGCCAAAATAAGAAAGTTATACTTTTTACAGTTAAAGACCCTCATGGGATTGCCCAGTATGCCTCCCATTCCTCTTCACCAGTCCTATTAGGTACCAGTATGACTTCAAACAATGTCAATAGCTTGGTTATACTTTACATATGGATAACTCGGAACAAAACAGATGAAAGAAAATCATAACGATTGTATCTATATATTTATATAACAAAACAACAAATCACAAATATATAAACTAGCAACAAGTGAGATTTATGTTGTTGCTTTTATGCAATCCAACTGGTAATATGGCTAACATCATTACGGACTCAAATTTTAATAATATGTATGTATAGCAATGATTTAATTCCGGGATATATTACCATACTATAAAGATAAAAGCCCTCCATTTGTAAAGTGAGTGAAAAGAAGAAGTTTGAAAGGTGAAATATTAGCATAATAACTATTGTTTATTTTACCAGCAATAGGGAACAAATTCTGGGGTGCTTCTTACCCCAACCTGACAAAATAATTGTTGTTACCCATCAGTTAGGTTTATATGTGTAACTGCTCTGTAATTTGAGTAACAATTTATGACCTAAACTCATATGATGACAAACTAATTCAACCATTGGTTTCCTTTATCTCTTGGTGACTGCAACAGCTCCATCCACCTACAAAAGCCACTAAGATGGTACTTCAAACTCCTGCTGCATTTTGCCACAGGTAGAAGAATCACACCACTAAAACAACATGGCTGTGGTAAGAGTAGCATCATAAAGATCTTATGACTGGTACAAGAAGACATTGTATGATTATAACCAATAGTAGCATGCAAAAGCTGAAGCATTAGGTGGACTGTGTGTGATCCAACCCCTGAAAATGCTTCCATCTTATTGTAACATTAACAAATGCGTATGGATGTTTACTGTGAAGGGAGGGGGAAATAGTCTTTTAGGGAAACAACAGCTGTAGGCCGAAAGAATACCCCCCCCCAAAATAAATAGCCATCACGTCCTATTTTTGTCAATTATAATTTGTCCAATAAACTTTTAACATAGAAACATGTAACATTTTATCTTAACAAACAGTATAAGGACAAGACAACACATTCCAACAGAAAAAAATAGTTTTAAGTTATAAAAAAAAGTTCAGGTAAAAAGGTCTAACAATTGAAAACACCAAAGACATATCAGAGAATTCCATAAAAAGGTGTGAAAAACTTGACAACACTTACAGGACTTTAACGGACATTATCAACGGCTTTGTGAATAATTATTTTAAACAATGCAGAAATTGTGTGCCGTTCCACCTTAAGGTCAGCTGGTGATTACAGTAATATGTACATGTTAATTTTAAAAATGTAAGCTTAGTGCAGGATTTTTATGGAACTGTCCTTTTAAAAAGTTACTTTATTTACCAAAAATAGTATCAAATCTTACAAGCTAATTTTCAGAAAAAGACTTGGTCTACCTACACTCCTGTTTGACAATTTAGGTGGCACTCCAGACAAACAGCCATATATATGTTTGATGTTTTACCAAAAGAATTTGTAATTGTGCCATTCTCCTAATACTCATGTCCTCAGACATGAGTCATCAGAAAGTTCACTTTGCTACTCACTGTTATAGCATTCCTGGATTAGCTTTACTGTTTCCTAGGTCAACTCCCTGCTAACTGGACATGTGACAAAGAAGCGCATGTTACCTGTCTAGCTCTGCACTGTAAAAAACAAAGGAATTACTGTATAGAACTACACAATTTTTGGCAGGTAAAACTATTAACATATGTAACATATGTATATGTAAACTATTAACATATTTATAGAATTATACATATGGTATTTGCCTGGATGTCTAGGAGGAAGTCCTGAAATGGGTACCATAAAGCTCACTATCAACCAAGGGTCAGGACAGTTCCTTCTATAAAAAAGGAGAGCGTTTAATAAAGAAAGAAAACACTCTATTTAAGCACATTTTGGAGCCAAGTGTATAGATGAGACATGCTATTTATTCTTAGACCATAACCTTTTTCAAGCAACTATACCTAATTCTAAACCATAATATTTAGATGTATCTACCAGTAAATCAAAAGGTGTACCTCCCCATGCTTCATAACACATTTCTAGTTCTTTTGATTTTGGGAAATATTAAGGACTGTCCAACAAATCAACAGGATCGTGTAAGTGTTGTCACTTTAATATTGGCAGTATTGTTTTGGCCTTTGCACTGGAAGACCAGAACTGCGTTTTATTTCCGACATTATATTTGCCAACCAATAAACTGTAGAAAACAGGGTTGTAAAACAAGGTTTGAGATTTTGGTAAAAACAAAAAAAGTGCATGCTAGTGCATGAGTTTGGCAGTAATGCTGCGCAAGTTTCTCTTTAGTGTGCTATGCACAATGAGCCTTGTGCACTGAATGTCTGATCACATTATTCCTTTGCAGGAACTGATGAACAAGAAGCCATTGTGCGTAGAAAAGTGAACAGAACATGCACATTAAAACCAGGGTTCTGAAGCAATGACTCTGGAACAGATTGTAAAAGATCACTCAAATTATGCATAGTAGCTACAGCACCAATGTAGCACTCTACTATAGAGCTCATGAAAGAGGAGGTTGTTCTTTTGGTACAACTGACTAAAAAGGCAGAATTAGGGCAAACTTTCTTAGCAGTACTCAGATCTGATGGCAGCCCATAAAGGCATATGAAATTTAACAACATTCGTGTTAGGAGAAAAGCACCAAACTCTAGTTTATGGCCTTCAGATTTTAAAACAGCCTTATTGAGAAACTCCTCAATGGTTTCTGCCACCTGGACAATTTCAAAAAGTTCATTTTTCAGTTGTAGTGAATAGACATAATCCAATGGAAATTTCCCAACATAATCCATCTGCTGCAAAAGTATTGGTCCTAAAAATAAAGAGTAATTAAAATGAATACACAATAGGCTTACATTTTTGTAAAACAATCTTGCACGTTTTCCCAAATCCTACATCCCAAATCATTGTATCCCAAGTCTTTAGTTATGTTTACTTCAGAACTTCAAATGAGTCAAACAATATCACAGACACTCAATATGGCTTTGACTCTCAGTCTGTAAGCCCCATTTCAAGGAATTGTGCTCTGCTCTTCAACTTTAAGCTAACAAGCATATGACAGTAATCCATAGCAATCAATAAAAATGCAAATTGCACTAATCTGACTTGGGTAAACTGATGATTTATACAGGTGAAACTCGAATAATTAGAATATCGTGCAAAAGTAATTGCAGTAAGTGCTGCAAAAGGGGCCCAAACCAAGTACTGAGTACATATGCATGCTTATACTTTTCAGAGGTCCGATATTGTTCTATGTACAATCCTTGTTTTATTGATTGCATGTAATAATCTACTTTTTTGAGGTTGTGGATTTGGGGTTCTTGGGGTTTCCATGAGCTGTAAGCCATAATCATCACAATTATGACAAATCACGGCTTGAATTATCTTGCTTTGCATGTAATGAGTCTATCTCATATATTAGTTTCACCTTTTAAGTTGCATTAGTGAAATAAATGAACTTTGCACGATATTCTAATTATTCGAGTTTCACCTGTATGTACTGTTTCAACTCAGTTTTGAGTAGTTCCATTTACCTTAATAGCCAGTCTGGACGATCTCAAATGTAGTGCTATCTAAAAGGTTACACAAATTACACTGGGAGGTCTTGGTTCCTGTGGAGTGTTACACTGGTCATAAATGGGCAGATATCTCCTTGAGGCAAAGAGATACGTGCTATAACATGAAGGAGCATTGGAACCAGTTCTGATCCCTATCCAAAGTTGTAAGTAGCCCATGCATATCCCTACTTATACTTTACTACACTACATAGAACAATGAAAATTGAGATTTTATTGCAAAGAGATTTCAGTATTAGTTGGAACACCTGCATGAGTGGCTGACTGAAGGAGGTGCTCTTCACTGCCCTTTTGTAGTGCAGAAGAAGCTTAATAATCTCAAACAATGCTCAAAAGCATGACTGCTTGATTTTTATAAAAAATATATAGCTAGCTTACAACTGTTTTCCACAATACCTTGGGTTAATGGAAACCTTTAATATGGCTGATGACCTTAAAAATGCCTCCTGCCAAAAATCTAAGTTGTAGCTTACACAGGACATTCCTTTTACTCATGGTGACTGAATGGAGAGGTGTAAGAGTAAAAGGAAGTGGTGAGTGGGGACTTCAGCATTAAACTGTACTTTTGCCTGGGAAAGCACAGAAAATTATTTTAAAATTCTTCTCCTGACAGTAACACGATCGGACTTATTTAATAAGGAAGTTACATAGTATCTGAGGTTGAATAAAGACATTAGTCCATCAAGTCCAACCTATTAGGATCTAATTCTAGAAGTACCTGTACCCCTGTATATTACGGTCCCTTAAGAAATCGTCCAAAAGTTTCTTAAACAATTCCACATTATTTGCTGAAATCACCGCCTGTGGCAGTGAGTTCCAGACCCTAACTGATCTTACTGTGAAGAACCCCCTTCGCCCCTTGTGCTGGATTTTTTTTTCCACCAATTTTAGGTGGTGGCCTCTAGTTTTTGTAATGGAGTTAATTTTAAACAGTTTAATCGCTAATGTTGCTACCACCATTGAACATCTTGTACATGGAAATCATATCCCCCCTTAATCTCCTCACCTCTAATGTGAACATGTTTAAATTTAGTAGCCTTGTCTCGTAGTTAATAAATGTAATAAATCTGTCTAACGTTATCTTAACTATAGTATTCGCCATGGTCTTCCAAATCTAATCTTTATTAAACATATACTAACTAGATTAAAATAAATCAGGTGGCATTACTCATTTAGGAAATGCAGGCAGGATATATTTTTGTAATACATAATAGGCAGAGGAACCTAGCAAAAAAAAGTATTTGATACAACTGGAAGAAGAGAAATAGGAAGGGGTGCCCATAGCAAGCAATCAAATTTCTGCGTTCCCTTTAGACCTGTACTAAAAAATAAATACCGCATGTGGTTTAATTTGGCAACATCTTTATCGTTTTTCAGTCAGAACAAGGTAGTTAGTCAGTTTAGACTGATTGAAAACCATAGAACCTATAGGTGGCTCATCCGTTTAGCTCATCATTTGTTCAGAAAGGTTCCAGACTGAAAACTATATATATATATA